CTAACCTTGGAGGTATTCAAACCCACTGGACATAGCTCTGAACAACTTCCTCTCACTGACTCTACTTTGAGCAAGAAGGGGCAGACCAGGCATTCTCCAGACATTCTTACCAGCCTCAACTTTCTATGAAATCTTAGACTTCTTGCTAATGTTTAATATTAGAGAACTTTTTGTCTATGTGATTTTTAAATATGGAAATGCTTTAAACCATACATTTTCTTGTTTTCTCCAAAACTATAAGGAGAAATAATTTTTTTTTAAGAACATCCCTAAAGCACCTTCTAAAAGAACTTCAACACTTGGTTCTGATGCAATATTAGAAAGACATAATTGGAATACAAAAACCAAAGAACATTTTAAAAGGTGAGCTTCTTGACAGCAGCAGGACAAATACACTGTTAGCCATCACATTCTAGTGAAACTTCTTCGTTTTGCAGAAGTAGAGAACAGAAAGAAGCAAGACAATTCCAGGCAGACTTTTCTATAGTGGCTGAACACGTTCTGATGCATCTGTTCACATCCAGAACAAATGTGAACAGATGTGAACAGGAAGCTATCTTATCATGAACAAAATCAAAAATGGATGTCAGAATAATTTTGAACTTCCTCAAAATGACCATTTAGGCCGGAAAACCAAGTAGTATGGTTAACTGACACACATGGCATTCAGACATATTTTTGCCTAGTGGAAAACATGATATTTAAAATGCCTTCCTCTTTCTCCATCCTGTCAGCATTATTCCTATTTCCCCCTAAACTGAGTTTAAACTAGGGTGCATCTCAGATGTTTAATATTCTGAGGTATAAACCAATTAGAATTCCACACTTTCATTAAGTTCTGTGAAGCACTGATACTCAATTCTAAGGCTCAAGATATGCCATACCACTCTTAAAACACCCCAGCCTTTACTTGTACAAGATACACAGAAATGCTTTGCCTACAACAGAGAAATTATACTCATGTTCCCCACATATGCTAATTATTAACCTGTCCAAATGTTTTCCATATGTTGTCGGTAAGCAACAACACAAATAAATCATATAAATAATTCCTCCCAGCCTTTTTTTTTTTTTTTTAAAGACTAGCGAATCAGTGCAGCCCACTTCACACAAGATGCAACTGCACACCTCAGCTGGGGCAGTCATCGCTGACAGCTCCCATTCTTTGGCAGCTGTCAGAGCCAACAGTTTTCTCAGCCAGCCTGCCACTCTTCCCAATTCACCCACCTTCCAGACCTCCCACACAACCTCCCATCAGTCTTGCACCCTATCCTCACCTATCCAGTCCCACCCAGCACAATCCTATGAATGGCCCTTGGGAGCATGAGAGTTCCAAGACAGCCTTTAGCTTTGCATTACGATGAAGTAAGAGAACATAAACAACTGGTTATCATCTCAGCTTTGTAGCTTCTTATTCATCTGATCATGCTGCAACCATACAGCTGACCAACAAGGCTCTGCTTGACCTAAATATGTCTGTTCTTTTGTTTCCTCCCTTATGCATCGCTTTACCATCTTGTGCTTTGCTTCTCATTTTCACCTAATTCTAAAATTTTTTACAGATGTTTAAACTGGAATAAAACTGCAGTATTTATAACTAAATGAAAAAGAATTCTAAATATGAATTTTTTAAGTGGAATTATTAGTCAAAGATAAACAGTGAAAAAGAAAGACCCAAACTAAAACTTCTCAGATTTTTAACTCCTAAGACAGAGAAAGACATCCTGAGAGGCCAAAACATGAGTCATCATTCTAGGTCAGGCAGTAGCACACACCATCCCAGCAAGGCTCTCACACAAACCAGCAAGCAGCAATATTCAAGGCAAAGTTCCCATGGCAAGTGTTTGAACCAACCATGGATGTAGCAGTATGGCAACCAAGGAAAAGATGCTCAGGTAAGCAAGCCACAAACTCAAGGCCACCTACATTAATATCAAACACCACCAGGCAACATACTGGTGTTGGCTGATCATTAGGCAGAGTAAATCACGGTGTCAAAGCTGAAAAACTGCAGTCTTTATCAATGCACAAAGACAAGATCAGCAGCAATGCCTGCGAGCGCCTCTCATCAAAAAAGAAATACAGTTACAACCAGAACCATCCGCCAAGCTGGAAACATTGTTGTCTAAAAACAACCTGCCAGGTCATTGACAGGATGGAAGGGAGAAGGGGGTTGAGTTTAGTTCTGTCAATTGCCTTCTTCATTTGCTGTTTATTACAAGCAGCTGCCATTTTCATTAGTCTTTTTACTTCCTCACTAATCCTTTCAGTGGTGTTACAGCAATGGCCATTCAAACAGTAGGCCTGGACTCAGATACCAATACAGAATCACAGGATAATTTCAGCTGGAAAGGACCTCTGAAGGTTGCCTGGTCCAACCCCTGGGCTCAAAGCAGGGCCAGTTAGATCGTTACAAACACAATCACATTTGCTCCAGCTCTTCCCCAAATCCCAGACACGCAATATTCCAACTGTGTTCCTATGGGAGTTTTGTTGTTGCTTTTAAATCATACTGCTGGTCTCTTGGGGAGCAGCTGCAGCATACGATTTCAGCCAGGAAAGCAGTATGCTAGCCCAGCATGCTGGCTCCAGCCCTGCCAGCTCCTACCAAGCAAATGTCAGTAAAAAAGAAACAAAACAACCCTGAAACAACAGCATCGCTGTCCATTGACATGCAGGTTCTTCAAGCACTTCTAAGAGGAAATACCTAGATTGACTTCTACTATCCATTTGTGTGGATTAAGAGTTCTACCAGATGTTCAGCAGTCAGAACTGCAGTCCGGGTATAGAATAAAACAGGAAAGAGCTGCCCTTCTACTGCTACATTAGGCACCATCACCCATGCACAGGTCTCAAACTGATTGACCTATGCTTCTGGGAAAGGGATGAGTATCACAAACTGCAGGAAGACAATTATGTCTGTCTGTGCATGTAGATTTCATTTTCCACACAACTTAAGAGATACTTACAATGTGAGACTTTTTAGCTTCTTTCCTCTTTCAGTCTCCAATATGATAAACACAGAGGACCATAAAAAAAATACTTTATTGCACTAAATCCCTTTCATTCTTCTGTTTTTCACAAGGAATGTATTTCAGGGCCTTTAGTTCCTCCCCTTTCTTTATTAAGGTCATATTAATTAACTCCAGTGTCTAGTTCAGCTACTGTTAGGTATCTCCTTCAATTTATATTTAGTTTCCACCCAAAATATTCTGAATCATTCAAGAATTAGGTTGTAGGAGTGTAAAAATTAACAGAATGCTATAATCTAACTCACAGAAGATATGTAGGAAGGGCCTATCTGCATGTATGGAAAGTAGTGAGTGATCTTATTCACTTAGGTTTTTAACTAAGATTTCTCTTGAAAAGCCTCTTAAACATTAACACAACAACAAATTATCTTAATAGGAGTAAAGTAGTACCATATCAAAACTGTTTTGCCCATTTTGAACTGCCAGGAACCATTTGTCCTGCACCAGCATTCCAGTACCCTGTCAGACCTACTCATCCTAATCAATCAATCCATCCCCAAGATGCACAATTCCAGCCTTAGAGGTGGATATAAGAAAGCAAGCAATCATTTACACAGCATCTGTTTTTCACTATGTTTATGCAACCAGTACTATGAAACAAATCTTAGAGCTATCAGGCACTTTAAAACATCCAGAAAGATTTTTTAAAACACACTGCTTGAGCAAATAAATAGGTTTGGCAGAAGGGATGTTTGAAAAGGGTTGGAATCTTAAGATATTTTCGAGCTCTGTCATTAGTCTACAACCTGCTGTATGACCTCAGACAGCTATTTTGCTTCAGCTTCCCTTTATGTAAAGTAAGCTGTAATATATAGATGGAAAGTATTTTAAAGTTTAACAAGTATCAGAAACTTCTATCACTAACACTTTGACATTTGTTAAAAGCTTGACAAAGCCACTTCATTCACCAGTACAATGCTTTGCAGTTTTTCTTCCTGTTTGCAAAATCCTAACACCGTAAAAGGCTGTTGTACAGTACCTTTAAAAAACAAGACTTGCTTTAAAAGAAGAAAAAGAAAAAGGCATCTTTTTTCTAATTTTAAAGATGTTTTTGTAAAAAAAAAAATTAGAGGTAATATGTGCAATTTTCCAAGGACCAAGTCCAAAAAATTACATCATGTCATTTTAGAAGACATTTTGGAACTCTCTTTTCATATACGAATATTTTTAGGTATCAAAGATTTAGAAATGCATAATCATTTTGAATTTTGTGAGCATACGTAAACACGAGGTTTAGCTACACGAATTAAGGAAAATGAGTTTTCACTAGGCTTTTGTTATGGGGATTGTTAAACTAGCTTCATCAAGAATACGTTTCTAGTCTGCAAGATCCATCTCATCACACCAGGTCCCGAGGTCATCAAGGCTCCTTTCAGAGGCAACGGCGCATGAGAGATAAGGACAGAAAATGCTTCAAGGAACCGCATGATAAGTCTCCTTAGAAAAACAGCGCGATACAGGAAGCAGCTTTCCACCACCGCGTTCGCTTCTAAACAGCCATTTTACTTCACTACATCCTTCCCTACAGCCAGCCTTCATTTTGTGTTCCTGCCTGGCTGCGCGGCTCCCGGCTGACAGCCTAGCGAGGATACCGGGGGCGCGCTCAGGTGGAGGTGAGATGCCTCCCAGCCTCTCCGGGTGCCGAGCGAGCCGTTCCGGTGCCGGTGTCGGGGGAGGGAGGCTTCCCGCCTCCCCCCGTTTTTGAAAGTAAATGAAGGCGCCGCTCCCAATGGCGGGGGAGGGGGGAGCTTGGCTCCCTCCTCCTCCCGGGAGCCCGGCTCCTCCTGGAGAGGCAGGGGAGCCCGGGGACCCCTCTCCTGGCAGGTCGGCCCTGCTATCGTCCCTCCCCCCGGGCGGGCAGTGCCGTGTGTCCCGTCCCTCCCCCCGGGCGGGCGGGCTGGCTGTGCTGTCTCTCCCCCCGGCAGGCCGTGCGAGAGCGGCGGGGCGGGCACTCACCGCTCCGGCAGAGTGAGAGGCAGCGGCGGCGGCGGCGGCCTCATCCTCCTCCGGCGACGGCGGGCCGATCTTGCTGCAGGTGGCCGCCAGCAGAGCGAGCGGTGACGGCTGCGCGTCCTACCCACAATGGGCGGGTTCAGGGAGAGAAGGGGGGTGGCGGTTAGTGCGGGACAGCGACCGGGCTCCTCGCAGACGCGCACACAGGAAGCGGCGGCGGCGGCACCGGCTCCGCACCCGCTCACAACGTGTCACCCGGGGGAGGGGGGAAGGGGCCCAGCCGGGCCTGCGCTCACCTGGGGGGCGGCCGCCCCGGCGGAGGCCGAGGCGGCGCCGTTGCCGTGCTGGAGATATTCGCTGTGGCTGCTGCTGTCCACGTCTAAGGCAGCCATTTCCTCTTGTTTCACGGGCTTCTCGGGAGCTGCGGGCACAGCGGGGAGGGGGAGGGGAGAGTCACTGACGGGAGCGATCACCCCCCTCCCTCTCTCTCCCTCCCTCCCTTCCTCCCTCCCTCCCTCTCCCCCCCCTAACCCCAGCGCTCCCCCCGCCCTCCCGCACGGAGCCCTCCTCCTCCTCCTCCTCCTCCTCCCCGTGCTGCTGCCCCTGCCCCTCTTCTCCCTCCTCCCCCTGCTCCTCCTGCTGCTGCTCTCAGTGCCGCTCTCGCCTCGCTCGCACACGGACGTTCCGGGGCCGGAGCGGGGACGCGCAGGGCCGGAGCAGGAGCGGGGAGCCCCCGGGGCGGCTCGGTCGGTGCGTACGTACCGGTCATGGTGTGAGTGCGAGCGGCCGGCTGGCTGGCTGGCTGGGCGGGAGGCAGGCAGGCAGGCTGGCTGGCTCGCACACAGGCCCTGCTGGCTGGGGCTAGGCGGCTGCCGCCGGGGACATGCTTATTGTGCTCACGGCGGGCTGAAGCGGCGGCGGCGGCCCGAGCCTACTCCGGGTTTTTTTTCCTATTTTGATTGACGGTGCGGGAAAGCCGAAAGGTGGGGCTTGCCGCGGGAGAGGGGGCCCGGCCGACACCGCCGCCCGCCCGCCCGCCTGCCAGCCCGGAACTCCCGCCCACGCCCGCGCGCGCGCGCTCTCATTGGCTGCGCCGCGCCGCCGCCGCCGCTCGCACGGGCCGCCCGGGCTGCCAGTCACCCGCCGGGGGCGGGGGGGGCGCCCCATGCCGGGGCGGCTTCCTGTTTGCCAGGGCTACTGCGGGGAACAATGAGCGGGACCCGCCGGGAGGCCGCGGCCCGCGCCGGCCGGGGACTCGCCGTCCCGGGAGGCGGCACTGCCGCCGCGCTCCCCTGACCCCGCGGGGCCCGACCGCCCGCAGGGGTCTGCGCATAGGCTGGGCTGCGCGGCGGCGGCGCTATCCCTCCAGCTCCCCTCCCCCCGCGCCCCCGCCGCTGTTGTGCCCGGGGGGCGGCGGGCCAGGGCTGCGATCTTTCGATGTCTCCCCGCCGGGGCTGTCACTCACGGCTGGCGACAGCCGCGGCGGCCGAGCAGCGCTCGGCCGACGGACAGCGCCGCCGCGCTTTGTCCCTCCGGCGCTAAGATGTCGGCGCGGCGGCCCCAGGGGAGCCGGGCGGCCCGGCCCGCTGCCCGCCCCGCCGCGGCACCGGGCGCCCGGGTCAGCGCCGGCAGCAGCGCCCGCCTGGGCGGCGCGACCCCGCCGTGCCGCCGGTGCATAAGCGCTGTGGCGGGCTCGCACCTGCCTGAGCCGGGCGGGTGAGCCGAAAAGCTCCGCTGTGTCTGAGGCAGAACAGAGCCCGTGCCCCGATAAGGCCGCGAGTTCGATTTTAACGCGACACGGCCTCCCAGCGGGAGTGCCTGCCTTGAGCTGGACACCCGAGCCTTGGCACGGAGCGAGCATTTGTACCAGCGGGCTTTATTTTCGTCGTGTTAAGGAGAATTAATAAGATTCCCCTCAACGTCAGTTTGCTGGTCTGTGTCTCGTGTTATGCAACACAAAGGAAACTGGGAGCTCTCGGATTGTTAAAACTAAGACAGGAAATATGTATAAAACGTTACATAAGTATATGATGATACAGGAATGATTATTAGTGGGGCCTGTTTCTCTGTAACACCACTTAGCTTGTGAAGGGTTCCTGTAAAGGGGAACAATTTGGGCTTGGCCTTCCATCACATCTGAGTGCATGTGCAGGGTCATGGGATGGCGTGTAGGTTTAAGCACTGATTTTGACCCTTAGCTTGCAAATTCTCCCTAAGAATGACTTTTTCATGGTTACCCTTAGTGTGGTGTCCCAAGTAGTCTGAACGAGGCCAAAAAACCTCAAACCTACTTTTCTGTTACAATCTTTAATGTAATTAGAACTGAGGATTAACTAGGAGATAGAGTGAGCACAGTCTCCTATGTCCACAGTTGGGCTGAGTGTGTGGAGTCCCAGGCTCCCAAGATAAACTCTCTGAACAGAGAATAAAGTGCTTTTTAATTGGTCCCAGCACTATGACTTTGCAGTAACTACCCAAGCTTAACTTAGAAACTATTACAGAACAGGAAAATACACACTCAGAAAATGTGAATTTTATATCAGGAAGTTATGATGGAGGAAGGTAGTTCTTACTGTGTGATGTTTAGTCTTTTTCTAACCAATTTACTTGTGCTGGTATGTTGAGAGTACTTTCAGGTGACTTAATAGTAGGTTGTAAATTAATCCCCAATCTTTTAGTCACAATTCATTTTTGCCAAGGTAGTTTAAAAAAGCCAACCAAATCCTTCTCTTTGTTAAATGTCTGTATTTATTTACATAGTCTCTTGTAATTCTACTTTAGAATTAGTTGTTAGCGAGGTAGATAACACAGCCATAAAGAAGAAGGTTTCTTTGCAATTTGTATTTTTGGTTTTAATAAGAAAGTTGTAACTAGGAACAGAAGTCAGTGTTTTTTAAAAATATGTCAGAAATAATTCTTAGCCAGTGAAAGCTAATACACACAACCTTTAAAAATTCATCAGTGTACATACATAAGGACATTCCAGGAAGAAAATGAAAATGCAAAATTGCCTGACTATTGCAGTATTTTAAAAAAAGACTTCTACAGCTATTATAGAACTTGGAGTTTGTTTGACAATATCAGAAGTTGTTAGTGAAACATACGAGAGTCTGTCATCCTTGTACCAGAACTATTACTGATTACTTTAGACTTTTAGTAACTGAGCTGTTCATTTAAAGACCGATGTTAAAGAGAAATCATTTATGTTGAGATGCTGTAACAGGGAAAACTATATTGAAAAGCTGGCCCTTGCTATTTGGCAGGGTATTGCCAAATACTATCAATGGCATTTTGCTTTAGGAAGATCATGTTGTCTGGGGCTCAATCTGAGTATGAAAGTTGTTCTTCTACAGCTGGATGGGTGCATGTTGAGAGCTGTCTGACTTAAGGGGGATATTGTCTATAGAGTAGTTTACCTACATGGACCTTATTGCAGGCTTGGGACATAACTGCAGTGCTTTAAGGCAGAAAGATTTGAAATACCAGTAGTGGGATTGAATTTATATATAAAAGAGTTTTCCAATGGAATAAAATTCAGATGTAATCAAGCTTAACACTAGAAGAGAACGATCTTTTCCTAGTCAAGTATCCAAAATTGGGGGGGAACTGTTATATTAAATTCAGATAAGAACTAAACCAGAATATGAACAGACCATTTAAGAAGTAGACAAAAAAATCAAGATAAATTACAAGAAAGTTGCAAAAAAAAAAGATAGGCTAGTATGAAAAAGAGGTGTAAAGATACATAGAATTGTTAAATAGAAACTACTTGGTGACAGACATCACATGTCTCTGTTTACCACTTCCCAGCAGCCATTAAGAACACGAGAAGAAAGTAAATGTAAAAAGAAAGTTATAAATTACATTATTTAGGTGCTTGTTTTTTTTTGTTTTTTTTTTGCTTACCAACATACTAAGATGAAGACATTAATCATTAGAAAAATCCTGGATACATGAGGGAGATTCTGTATCAACTGGACATCTGAGTTCCCCTGGGTGCTAGTTTTCCTGCAGAGTTATCACTGGGGCAGTAGCCCCAGAGACTGAGCTCCATGCCCAACTAGAGGAGCCGTTGTTTCTTGAGTTTGCCCACCAGATGTATTATATCTATATGTGATCTGAAAAAACTAACCATGACCAGTTAATTCTTAAAGAGCCTTGCCTCTGTAAGACTTTGCCTCCTGCTTCTAGGTAGTTCCTGGTTAACTGCAGGTCCTGGGATGGATTCTTGATCAATTTGCTGAAAATGGTGTGTATTTGAGCTGTGTATGTACAGAGAAAGTAATATTGTTCTAAAACAATAATAATACTTCTACCAGATACCAAAATGCAGCAGTTTTAGAACTGAGATGTAGCCTTTGGGGTAAGTAGCAAAATAATATGGAAGAGGAAGCAATGTCTACCAGCTTCTGATGAAACTTGAGAGGTTTTGACAGATGAAACAAGAGCAACTTGGAAAGAACGCTAAAACTTGATACCAGTCATGTATTTCAGTTGTAAGCTCAATGCTGTATTTGTCCACAGTAACTTATATCTCATTGGTTTAAGTCTTGGAGCTCAGTCTCAGTTCAGTACAAAGTCAGGAGAAAGTGCACAGTCTTAACACAACTTCCATCCAGCACAGTGTCTGCTATACCTGGAAGTAGCTTTTCTGTTTCCATAGTCCTTTGAAATTTCTGAGCCATGACATGTTATTTCTGTCTTTAGTGGTCCCTGCTGTGGGTAGCCCTGCATTTCTTTAAAGAATTCTATTACTGAAGGTCTGTGGGTATGTGGTCCAGTTCAGTTTTCACAGCTGTGGTACTCCACTCCTTTGTTGAGTGGTGGTTTTGCCATGCTGAAGCCTAGAATGCAACTGGACAAGACAGACAGGAATGCATTCTGCTGTGACAGAATGTAACACCAGGAAAACTCAGGCTCAGGTCACTTTAGTTTGAAAAGTTGGGTCTGAAATTGTAGGGCTTCCATTCAACAATCTACCTTAAAACATGTCCTTTACTGGAGGGACAACAAGCAGGATTATCTGTAAATCTCATACCTCAGAAAATAACTAGATCACCAAAAAATCTAACTAACTATTCA